AGCCACCCACCCTGGGGACCCACCAGCCGTGCCCTGTCCCCCTCCAGACACGAGCTTTGCTCCTCTCCGCCAGCTCTCAGAGCCGCTGTTAAATCCAGGAGCATTCCTCCCTCCTCCTTCTTCTTCCCAGACAACTATGCGGACAGCGGAGCCGTACTTCTGAGCCGCTCTCATTACACAGCGTAATGAGAAAGTTGAGCTGCCGCTCCACTGTTTATCAAGGAAACATCCATTACAGATGGCATTTTGGCTGTGTTAAACAAAGGGCGTGAAGACGAGTACGTGGGTTTAAAAAAAAAAAAAAAAAAGAGCGTTTTGTTCCCATGTTTGGTGTTTAATCAATACCAAGCCAGCCTGGATCTGTTCCTCCCCTCACGCACCCTGAGCCAAGCCTCCCTTGTGGGTGCTCGGGTGATGAAGCAAGGCTTCCCCTCCCCAGGGCATCGCTCCTGAATTAGCATCCCAACCCCAGCCAAAGAGAGATGGTTTCTGAAACGGGGAGAATAGACTGAAATCGGGGAGAATACACTGAAATCGGGGAGAATACACTGAAATCGGGGAGAAAACTCAGGCAAATGAAACATCACCTGCTTTTGGATGCTGAGGATTTACAGCCAGTGGAGGCTGGGAAATTCTTCAGCACCAGCATCACTGAGGCATATAAGACCAGATTATTTGTGTTCCTGACTTGCTGATGCAAGATGAAAAATACAGCAAACTGCAGCTGCTGAAATCAGCTCTTTTCTCCCCTTTCCTTCCCTTTCCCCTTAGCTGAGGTTAGTGTTTTGCAAAAGGTTTTTATATTCTGGGAGCTAAAACCTGTCCACTGCAATCAGACAAAGCTCAGGCTCCTCCGTTGTGCTGGGAAAAGCTTCCCGGCACGAAAAGCTTCACAAATTGCAGCGATCTGAGCCTGATTGCTCCTGCTCTCACGGCCGGGAGCTGGGCAAAGGGGCTTGGGGCTGGGGCATCTCACGGAGGATTTTTAGCAGCCTCCCAGGTCAAGGCCATTCGAATTGCTTCGTCCAGAGCAAAGCCCAGGATTCGAGCCCAGAATAACCCAGATCCTGCAGCCCACCCCCGGGAAGGGAAGGGCACAGGCTGAGCGCTCGCCCTCGCCAGGACCTGAGCCCACGCGGGGACGTGCGGGAGCTCGGGGGCCGCATCCTGGCCCCTTCGTGTCCTCAGCCTCTCTGTGCAGCGCAGAATGGAGGGGTGCACAGCACCCTCCTCCTAGCTGTGGGGACCCCCGGGGGATCGGAGCCCACCCCATGCCAGAACGCTGCCCGCTGGTTTAAATACCCCAGTCCAAAGCATTCAGAAAACATCGCCTTCCATCGGCGGGGGTGGGGGGA